AGGGAGTGGGAGCTGCATGTGGGTAGAGAGCCCAGAGTGAAATATACTACAAGTGAAAAGTACACTTCAGATTTCTGAGATTCAGGGTGAGGAAAAGAATGTAAAATATCTTAATAGTTTTGTTGATTATGTAGAGAAAGCTAATGATCAGCTCCACCCATTTGAGATCTTGAACAGGATCTTCCGCTGGGACAAGAAACCAAATCAACATAAGATCAATTAAATAATTTTATTAATTTTACATGTCACTAGGGACCCTCACAAGAGAGTAAAGAAAGATCCAAAGAAATGGCCAATGCAAGATGCTTTTACTTTTTAGACAAAGAACAATACATTTGTGAATAAATAATAAGACAAAAATGATTTCTGGGAAATCAGTAGGAGATATGGGGGGAGGGGGACAATGGGGAACAGCTATTGGAAGATAAAGGTTCCTCTGTTACTGAACCAAGCCTTTTTAGCCTAATGCTCCAGTGTGCCAATCACTGAAAGAAGTTTTGCAAAAGAGAAAGTTTATTTGTGAGGAAGCAAAGCATGGGGGTGGGAGACCCAAGTTTCAAATCTGCTTTTCCAAGAATAGAGTTTAGGAGTTTTTATGGGATAAAGAAGCAGGGTGATTTAAGGCAAGGGGAAAGATTACTAGAGGTGAAATAATCAGTCATCTGTACAAGTATAGTGTCTTCACAGCTCTACATAGGATCTATGTTCACAAAATTAACTGCCTTAGCATTGCTGTGAGGGTAGAATTTTTCTGGCATCCTAATGTCAAAAGATCCCCCATCCCAAACCTTTGGAGGCCCAAATGAAGAGCTGATGGTTTTGATGAAAGCGGCCTTCAAGTCCTTGAAAAGTAACCTAGGCAACCGTTATCGTAATCCACATGCCAGAGGTGTTCTGTACAGCAAAACTAGTAGGAGACTAGTGACATATAGCACAGCTGTGTGACCTTCAGAATTGGTTATCTTTAAAGCCAACTAAAAGCATGAAACTAAGGGGGAGCCCAGAAGTTCAGAGTCAGAGAAGGAAAACTTTCAAGGGATCAGTAGTCTAAATGAGAACAGGACAGCTGTGTTGGCTGGCTGACAGTTATCCAGGGTAGAATTCTGGCCTCTGGTGGAGTCTTGGAAACTTAAGTCTTATTCTTTTGATGGCCCTCAGGTCCTTGGGAGATACTTCTGAGTTGTAAAAATGAATGTTTACAATTGTAAGCCCTTCTTTTAGTAAAAGCACAGCAGATGGTTGTGGCCCATTGAGCAAAGGCTTGGTTTTAACTCTAGTGAATTTATTCACGTCCACTATTCCCAGTTCCTGGTGACAAGGACTCTGCCCTCACCCTGGCACCTTCATGGGCTGCTCCATGTAGGAAAAGGTGGATCAGGCAGCATTTATAGAAGGGGTGGTGCGGATCTGAAGATTTCTCACTTAGGGAGGAAGCAAGATTATCCATAGAATTCAATTAGTTTGTGTAGAATTAATTTGTTGTAGAGGATAAGGTAAGGATCTAAATAGATTTCTCCCCCGCCAATGATTAGCCAACCATTTGTCCCGGAATCATATACTGAGTAAGGGTTCCTTCCCATTGATGTGTGATGCCTTCAATTTCATGAAACAAATTCTCTGATTCTGGGCTGCCTTCTCCATTGGTGTGCTCAGGCTCACACCTGTCCCTCATTGAGTTCATTCTTGTAGCCATGTAGGACACCCTGGATGTTAGGGCCATCCCTACCTTTGCCTCTCTTTCAAGATACTCTCATGTTTCCTCTATTGTTGATTCTAAGTGAAATTTTAAGATATTTAGGTCCCAAAAATTGTAGGTCAGGGATTTTTCCTGCAGGAGGAGAATGTCATCTCTACTCTGTCTTTACTATCTCTTTGGCTCTTCAGGATCTGGGCATATTTTTCTATTTATTGAATCATTTCTCTCTCTGTGTAACTTAATAAGGTTCCTCGTGTAAGTGCCACATATCTCTTCTTCTTTCCTGGGGTTTTGATTTGAGGCTTTCATTGGTACTCCTAATATAATCCATTTTTCCCCATTCTAGTTTCTAGTTGGGAAAGCTCTGGATTTTTTTTTTTTTAATAGGAACCTGGTACTTGCTCTCTATCACTTGTCAAATATCTACTGTGTCCCAGGCCATGTGCAAGGGCTAACCTTTACAGCAACCCTGAGGAAACTGAAATTTGTTTGTTATTTTCATAATTTTTCAATTAAGTTACCTAATATTTTCTCTGATTGCATTTCCAGTGTATGCACAAAATGATAATGTCTCTGCCTTTTCAATAATTACAGTTTTATTTCCTTCTTTTGCCTTTTTTTTTTTTTTAAGGCAAAACTGAACTTCAGTTAAGCCTGATTTAATGACTCAGGCATATCCAGAGGGAGATTAGCTATCTGCCCTTTGCTGCAATGCCAACAAATTACATTAAGCCCTTTTGCCCCTAATTGAACCTGTTAATACTTTCTGTTATTTTCCTAGGTATCACTTGTGTTTACTAGCTCCCAGCTACTTTACCTCATCTATTCTGCAGTTTCTAATCTAATAAATAATACACTGTTCAGGAGGCATAATTCTGGGCTGCTTTCCATGAGCAAAAATATGTAGTTGGAGAGGTCCATTGGAAAGTGTTGTTTAAGGCAGCTGTTTTGAGTTCAAAAACATTCTCCTGCTCACACCACATAGTTGGGGCTGCCAAAAGCCTGTCTTATGGACAAGGGGATGCTCCTGTACTAAGTTCAATTAAAAAGTCACCAGTATGGGAGTTGGAAGACATGGATTCCTATTTCTACTATGAATTTGCAATAATTGTTATTTCTGCCTTCAAATAAATGGAATACTATGAGAATATTAATATCCATTTTTATAAATATTATGTCACAGTTTTGCAAAGTTTTTCCCATGCATTATTTCATTTGTTCCTTCTAATAACCTTTGAACTGATAGGGCCAGGGGGTATCATTCCTATTTTACACATAGAAAGAACTGAAGCCAAGGAGACTAGTTTGTGCAGATTCAGGTTTGAAGTTGAACCTGAGCTATAAGCGTGGTCTCGTATTTTCTACTGTTCTTTCCTCTGCACTGTCCTCTCTTTATACTTTAAAAGTCATCAAAGTCTACTTGGGAGGCTGAGGCAAGAGGATCAAGTGTTTAAGGCCAATCTGGAGTCTAGGCAAAACAGTAAGACCCTGTCTCAAAAAAGAAAGAAAGAAAGAAAAATCCATCAAAGCAAATTCCCCCTAGATATTTTTACCTAGCTGGCAAATACACTGTCATGGCAAAACCACCAACCAGACCTGGTTATGAAATACAATTACAAAAATGTTATGGTAAGAAATCAATGCCTGGGGTAGGGGTAGGTTCTCTCCTTTCTCTCAGCCTTTCTCCAGGAAGCCTAATTAACCCTGGGTCCCTACCTTTTGGATTGTAAATAACTGACCTAGGAGTCTGACTACTCCCTTTTGAAATGTAGCAGATACCTGTGAAAAGAGCCCTTTCCTCTTATCTGTTTCTCTGAGCATGCTCTATGTGACCAACCTTGCACAAGGCCTTCAGCCACCTAGATGAGACATTTTAAAAAAAAAGAGGAAAAAGGCCCAATGATAGGATGGAAATATTGTGAGAAATCATGGATCAGGGCTCCAAATTTGGAGTATTTGTTTTCCTCTGGGCTCGCCAGCGTAAAATAAAGTTTGGAGTTTTCTCTGAGTGCTGTTGCTGCTTCTTGACCAGTCTGTTTTCCAAAACAATACCACTGATAGATTTTGTTAGGCTTGTAGGAGAACGTGCAGAACATTCTCTCCCATCCTCCACCTTCAGCACCCAAAAGGTCTCTCCTAGTTTCTAGCGCAGATCCTCCTAAGGTCAAAGTAGTTTTTATTTCCAGACCCTTGGGTCTGATTCTTTTGAAGAGCATGTGTGAGGAGTGTAGGGCCAATTACAAAGTTAGAGGGCACAGTTCCCAATGCTGCCCTCACTTCTGACGCCAGCTGCAAGTACAGAGGGCTCCCTAAACCACCTCTGGCTTGGTATTATCTAGGAAGAGTTACAGAACATCCCGAAAGCTGTTATGGTCACAGTTAGGGTTTATTGTGGAGGAAAGGCTGCAGATTAAGAGCAGTCAAAGGGTTGGGCGGGTGGCACACACCTGTAATCCCAGTGACTGGGGAGAGGCTGAGACAGGAGAATTCCAAGTTCAAAGCCAGCCTCAGCAAAAGCGAGGTACTAAGCAACTCAGTGAGACCCTGTCTCTAAATAAAATACAAAATAGGTCTGGAGATATGGCTCAGTGGTCAAGTGCCCCTGAGTTCAATCCCCAGTACCCCACTTCCTCCCTAAAAAATAAATCAGTCAAAGGTAGAGACACATGGGGCAGAGTCCAGGTAGTTTTCAAATGCAGAGCTTCAGTTGTCTTTTCTTGGTAGAGTCAGGACACCTTGTGATATTTATGTCTGGCATTGATGTTGGACAATATGCACAGAGTATTGCTAATCAAGGAAATTCACTTAAGACTCAGTGGTTAGTTTACATTGGTGTTCCATTACATAGGCATGATCTCAGTCTCGAGGCCACGGACACTGGAGACTCAAAATCTCTGCCCAAAGTCACACGGTTGGTTTTTCTGGGGAGGACAGCCCCAATCCAAAGGCTCTATGGAAGTGGTCAGTTCCAACCCTGAATTTTGTTGACTATCCACTGTGAACAATGAGCCCCCAGGCAAAGAAAGACACTAAAGAAAGATTATTCACCAGAAGCCGAGGATAAAGGCCAGACCTCTTTTGCAGAAGGTTAATTCTTCACTACACAGTGTAGCTGACGTTTCTTTGTTTCGTGTGTAGCTAGGAGGAGAGCTCAGGGGCTATACTCAGGGGCTTGGACTTCTGGAAGAGAGCGTTCTCCTTGGCTGTGCCTGAAAAGCCCTGCTCTTCAGTTCTCCCAGGGAAAATGGAACTTACTCGCGGTGGGGAAACAGCTCTTGGCCAATCAGTAACCCAAACAGTGTACTCCAGGAGGCCTTGAGTCTTTAATCAGCAACAGGAATCACGCTGCGGAAATTGCCCTTAATGTGTCATCCAAATTTCATGCAGGCCCAAATGTTTCATTTAAATGTAAAACAAAGATAACAGAGTGTATTTGAGTGAAATATGCCTCTCTTCCAATCATGCTGCTCTTACCATAGTATTGAAAATTCATACCCTGCTGAGAAGTCACCCTACATCACCCCCTCCAGCCAGCAAAATTCCCGTCAGAGAAAGTCAGCCGGTTGTGAAGGCTTCTTTAGTACGCCTCAGAAACCAAGCAGGAACCCACTCATGGCAGGCACTGGCCCAGTGCTGAGCAGAATGCAGAGGCAAATCAGCAATGTGTCCCATTCCCAGGACTGTGGTAGTCTAGAAAGTCAGGGGAAAGACACAGGTAAAGGAAATGAGCAGTCTCTCCCTCAGAGTCTGGGTGCAGCCCAATGCCTTGTCCTTTCCATACCGAGAAGCCTTTTTTTGTGACTTAGTCCTAGAACACTCATTTGCCTTGGAAATCAGGCCTCCATCTTCATCAGGTAGATATCTCTCAAATAGTGAGAAACAACCCTTTTGTTAACCAGGGTTAGCTGTTTCAGACAGGATACCTGCCTAGCCAGGCTTGCCCACATCCAGGACTCAACAACTGCTGTAGGAAACAGGATGCAGGATGGAACCAGACAAAACTGGTTTCAACCATAGGGGATGCCAGAAGGACCTGCTATGCGCTTGCTGACTACACACTGTCCATTGTAATACACTGTCCTGGTAAATCTTGGCCCCAACTGTCTTCCACCTGGACTGTAATCCAATGACATAAGGACAGAAGGAAGGTGGTACCCCATCCTGGGATGGACCCCCTCCACTCCCTGGAAAAAGCCACGAAGAATCCTCCAGTCATTAACTGAAGTTCTCCCCTCTTCTCTTTTACCCTTAAAAGAAACCCTATCCTTGGGACTGGTGTTGTGGCTCGGTGGTAAAAAGCGCTTGCCTGGCATGTGTGGGGCACTGGGTTCAATTCTCAGCACTGCATATAAATAAGTGAATAAAATAAAGTTCCATCAACAACTTAAAAAAAAAAGAAACCCCATCCTTTGTTCAGACTGAAAGCTCATTTGTAAGTCTTTCCCCCTGGCTTTTCTTTATTCTCTGACCAAGAGTAAACCTTCATTTACTGTTCAATCACCTCTTGGTTTTGTGATTGTTTACATGATTCCAAGAGGGAAAAAGAACCAAGTTTGGGGTCAGAAATTGGTAATGCTCATGGACATTCCACCCCAATAGTCCAACGTGGACCCTTCTGCTCTCTGGAATGCATTTCCACCAGATATCAGGTTTTCTCAGCCATTGCTTCCCACTGGACCTCTCGAGATATCAGCAGTGTCTTTGTAAATGGCTAAGTGCAGAATACAACAAGACTGGGGTTTGAAGTGTGTTCTGGAGATTTTTCTGTAAGCTTGGGGAGTTGTGAGAGAGGGTGGAGTTCATGCTCCCAGAAAAAAACAAGATGACGCACTGAGCAGTTAGCAAAGATGCTCTTGTCTCTGCCACCTTAATGGATGATAAAATTTGGTTCAAGAGTACAGAGTGAATGACTTTATTTATTCAATTCCTCATTGAAATTTTCATATTAGATTATTTCTTTAAATGAGTATATATTTTTATTTTTCTTGCAATATAACATGTGATTAAGGCAGGAGTGAAGATAGGGCAATGGGGAGCTACTACATGAAGAACAAGATATTTAGAAGCCCTTCTTAGTCAATACACAAGTCTTGTGTAGTCAATTAACTCTGCCTCAATTTTTTGATCTTAAAAAAAAAAAAAAAGACAGGCAATAGGGTTGGGGTTGTAGTTTTGCAGTAGAGAGCTTGCCTAGCTGGGCTTGCTCCTCAGTACAACATAAAAGTAAATAAATAAAGGTGTTGTGTCCATCTACAACTAAAAATATTTTTAAAAAAGAAAAAAATAATCACAATTTTAAAAATAATTAAAAAAAAAAAAAGACAGGCAATAGGTCAAGCCACTTCCTCCTTCCTCACATTAGCTGTACTTTCTGCCAGAGAACAATTTTCTAATAGCATAATTTCCATTTGGGTCAGTATTTGTTTCTTGATGGCTGACAACACATTTCTTTTCCAGGGCCTCAGTCTAGCTCTCAAGACTGAACTTACCTATCCTCTCATCATAATAAACTGAACTGGTTCTACCACCAATCTCATTTCTCTCTACACCTCAGCAGAATGAATTCTTATCTATGTCAGTGTCCTCCCATGGAAGAGCACCAGGAATACCCCCTACATGTTGAGTTTATTACTCACAGTGAAAGAACACACATCTTAGGGAACCATGGGCTGTCTCAGTGGGAAGGTATTAGAAAAGACTTATAGGACTTGAGCTTCTGTTTGCTGATTTGGCAGAGAGTTCAAGGAAGCAGGGTTTTGCCCTGGAGTGGATGCTGTCAGGAAGCTGGGGTAATTCCATGACCACTACCTTAATAAATGCAATTTACAGGGAGGCCAGACTAGAAGGAGGCTAAAGCTGCACTTGGTAAAGAAGAAGCTGTCATTCGTATTAGCTGGGAGAGAGGCTGTGCGGTATTTTGTGGCTCCTGCCAGCTCATGCTTTGTTCTCTGTTCAGACAGGATTGCCAAGTGGTCTTGTTTGCTCCATCATGACAACAGAGTGGCCTTATCTGTTGTCAATGGCCTGTGAAATTGTTTTCCTTTAGCAGAGAACACCAAAGCTTAGCCACTGGTTCTAGCTCAGCTCAGACAACATCAAGGCCAACTAATAGTACCAGCTCTGGATGTCAGGACTGCTTTTTTCCCTTCTCAGCACAGAAAGTCCCTTACTGTCTTCTGAGCATAAGGCTTTTGGCTAGTCCTCAAAGATGGAGCTGGCTGAAGCAAGTGAGGCAAACAGGGCACAAACTTTAGGAAGAACTCATCCTTGGGTGTCAGCCCTGTCTCTACATGACACCTAGAATTTTGTACTTTAAGCTCCTCGGTTACCTCACCTCTAACCTACTCTGCAAAATCTTTATGTGCAGTCTCTGTCCTTCCTTCTTCCTCTTCTCCCCTGAAATCCTACCCAACTGCCTTCCCCAAGATCAGGGAGAGCTTTCCCTTCTTTAACCCAAAACACTCTCATGGCTACCACCTTGTGGTACATATAGTCCTTAAGGATTTGCTAATTGCTTCATGGGAATTTGTTTGGTTTCTCCAATTGCACTATAGATCTCAGCCTGGCTGGTTCTTTCTCATCATTCATGTCTGGGTTTAAATGTGTCCCTCAGAGAGAACTTCCCAGCCCAGACAAACTAAAATATACCCATGCCTAGTCATTCTCTCTTTTACCTTGTTTTATTTTCTTGATTTACTCATCACCATCTGAACAAGTTTTCTTTATTAGTTTGTATGTTATTTTCTGTCTTCACCAGTACCTCAGTGTTAGCTCTGTGACACAGGTAAGCATCTGTCTAATTCGGTCCTGTGTCTTCAGGGCTTTGCTGTATTTATGTTTACAATAGCCAGTATGCATTTGCTGCAATTGAATGAGATGTGCTAAGATATATAGCCAGTTCACTCTGTGTGAGTGTTGGTGGCAGTTAGGGATGTTGGAAGCGAATGGCAGAATCCTGGCCTTCACATACAGTGTATAATCCAAGTTTCAGCATGTTCCATGTGTATTTTTTAGTTAGGTTGGGCTTCATCAGTCTGTTCTCAGGAATTAGAATTAAGAAGCACAGAGAGAATGAGACACTTTGTAGTGAGTGTGGTTGAACATATGCAAAAAAAAAAAAAAAAAAAAAAAAGAAGAAGAAGGCTTGAAGTAAAGGGGGACCATGAGGAACCCTGAACAAGTTGAAATAGAAAGGAAATAGCAGCCAAGGGAGGAGGGATGATAAAAGAGCATATGTAAGCAAAGCCAAAGCAAAACAAAAAACAACCTAAAGGGTAGGAAAGCCAGCTGAAGGCACAAGAGAACCAGAGATGTGCAGGGAAGCAAACTCACAGAGAGTAAATAAATGGGTTATATTAATGGTGGTGGCCTTCCCCAAGACCCAGAAACTCCAGCCCCTGTGGTCCCAGAATTAGATGACTTGGCATCTAATCCACCTTCTCATTCCAATCTCCTTGAGCCTGACTCAGATACTGCTCCTACCTTTCTGGTTGTTCTGCTTTTGCTGAGCTCCCTGAGACTTGGCTCATCTCTAGAGGGATAGATAGACTGGAGTCTCCCTCCCCATACACACACAGTACTGGGGATTGAACCCTAGGCCTTGCACATGCTGGGCAAGCGCTCCATCACTCAGCTACCTCTCCAGCCTGACCCGAGTCTTGTACTTAAAAATCAGGAAAGCTTGTCATTCAGGTGTCCCTCACTCCAAAAGGTAGAATGGAAACAGTCTTCCGTGTGGGCTGTCTCAAGTTTCAATCCAGGATCTGCTAAAGGTGAGCTCTGAGACTTTGGGCAAGGTGAGACCTGAGACTGGCCCTTTCTATCTTTAGTGCCTGGGGCTCAGGATTGCTGTGAGAGTCAAAAAAGGTTTATGTAAGCAACTGGCATGGAGCCTGACACAGACTTAACACTCAGTCTGGTCTGGTTCCTCTTCCCTTCCTTCCCTCTGGATACTTCCTGTCTTGCATAATAAAGTCTACCCACTTGACCACAGCTCTAGCAGCAGCAGCAGCAGCTACAATTCAGGCTATCTACTTCCTATCTCACAAGGTTCTGTCTTCATTTAATTGTTTTGTGCTCACACATTTAAAGTGAAAGTTAATCTGATGAAAGCTATAAGCACAGATTTGGGGCCTGAGTTTGAGCCCATCTCACTTGATATCCTCCAAAAGTTAATTGGAAAAAAAATGATAAAAAGCTCTACAATGCAATCTATTGTGGAAGGTAGAGTGGGGGTAAGGAGTTCATCTTTTCTTTCATCTGGTCTGCCATCAACAAAGAATTATTTAGCCAAGATCATGTGTAAAGCTATTAAAAAGACAGTGCATAATTTTACACATGATGAAAATGAGATGTACACGTGATTAAATCACAATAAGTTTATTTCACGTTTCACCTTTTTAGGATTTGCAAATGTGTACCAGATATTTGAACAATGTAATAAACATTGTAAAGACAATGTTTAATTCTCTACCTGGGTCTTAACTAGGATTAACAAGTGTCTCCTGAATACTGTTGTAGCATCTTCCTCCTAGAAAGGGATTATAAAATACTGGTGGATGGATGAATCAACAGCTCTTCCAGATGCTTCAGGAATTAGCAAACATCTGTAAATCTTGCTGTACGGCCATGTAGAAAAATATGTGGTGGTATTGTAATTATGGCAATGTCAAGTTAACTTAAAATTGTACTTTTTTCCCCCTTGCCACATTCCCACCCCTCTTTATTTTTTATTGTGGAGATAGAGTCTAAGTTGCCCAAGTTGGCCTTGAACTTGCCATCCTCCTGCTTCCTGAGTGCCTGGGATTGGAGACATACATCATAGTACCCAACTAAAATTATAAGCTTAAGAGTCATCTCTTTAAACAAGCAAGCCTACAGACTATATTTTTTTTAAAACACTTATACTTTAGTTTTAGGTAGACACAATATCTTTATTTTATTTTTTTAATGTGGTGCTGAGGTTCAAACCCAATGCCTCATGCATGCTAGGTGAGCACTCTGCCACTGAGCCACAACCCCAGCCTGAGAGTATAACTTTTTCAAAAAGAATAGTATAAATCTTTCTGGAGATGCTCACTATAAATTCTTTACTTTCTAATCATCTCAGGCAAGTGGCTTTCTTTATCCTTCTGACTCCCTCAAAATGAAACAAATAAGAAGACATAGGTCAGAAAATTCAGTATCCTCTACAAGTATAATTTAATTGGGCAATGCAAAGATATTGGCATTCTACAAGCTCTTTTGGTTATTTTCTAGACATATAAATAAGTTTAAAGTAAGTATTTCTCCAGCTTAAAGATCTACCTTAGAATAATAAAAACCATAGTATCAATACCTCTCCAAGAACAATGAGATAAGGGAATAAATGTTACGAAAAACCAGTTAGAAAATTCATAAGTAATTCACTCTTCCTACCACATTACAAATATTCCCCCAAAATATATATGCTCAGGAGTCAGTATAAATCCCAATTTGAGTAAAAAATAAATACCTTTTGCAAGAAGATCTCTATGAATCTCAGTTAAGCAATGGAAAGTTAGACAGGTTAAAGATCTGGAAACTAAAATTAGATTTATATACATTGGAAGCACTTTTCACCTGTCACATAATATACAAAATATGTTCTGTGCCATTGTCTAGAAAGTTGGGTAAAGACTGTTTAAATCAGAAAAAAAAAGTTTAATTTAAAAAATCAAATGACAGTACTGGGGATGAGGCTCAGTGTAGAGTACTTGCTTAGTATTTGTGACATCCTGGGGCTGATTCCTTAACCCCACAAAAAGAGAGAAATGGGGGTGGAGAGAGAAGACAGACTTGCTTTTCCTGTGAAAACCATTCATCTGAGAAGTTCTGCAGCAAGGAGCCATCCAAGACAGCTCACCTGGGTGAAATCAGATTGTTGGTACTCCACCAGATGCTCATTGAGAAAAAGATGAAGTGAGAGTAGGAGAACAGGTCAGGGCATGTAATTACCAGCTCCCAACTTGACATTTAGTTATTAGGTAAGCACTATAAGACATGATAATGGACGAAAAGGGACAGAGTGAAGAGGCAGAATCGAAACTGTCAAAATTGTTCAAGAAAGAGAAGGACTAGAATACTGCCTTTAGGATCTACATCATGAATCAGGTGTCAGTGTAATGTGCATGTAATGAAATCCAGTTACCTATGATTTAAATTACTTGAGGTGAGGATCAAGCCACACCATTTTCTACAATTTCACTTCATTTTAAGACACATTTTTCTTCCGTCATTATTACCATCATCAAACATGGAAGAAACCGTGTGTGCTTCATAAGAGGTAGGGTTAAGGGCTGGGGTTATAGCTCAGCGGCAGAGTGCTGCCTTGCACATGTGAGGCAATGGGTTCGATCCTCAGCACCACGTGAAAATAAATAAAGATATTTAAAAAAAAAGAGGACCTGCCAGCACTGCGATGCTCTTCCCCTGGCACTTCTGCTCTTTTTGATGATCCATCCTGTCCTGCCATAGGTTTGGAATGCTTCTGGGATTCCATCCTGCCTGAAGGGTTTCCAGAGGGCAGAGGGCAGAGCCCAGGCCTCACCTTCTTCCTCCCACTTTTCTCGGAGCCTGTCATATTCTTTCAACAGATTTAGTAAGAAATGCAGTCAATCAAACAGCTCAGCCATGCAGGTTGTCCTCTCATTCTTAGGGATCCTCACTCTTCCTTTCCGCGTCTCAGGCCATGACAACGCCATCTTTTCTTTTCATCAAGAAGCTGTACAATGAACCTTACAGATTTTTCCTCTCCCCAGACAAGTCATCTTGAGTTTCCCCAGAAGTCCCTTTGTTTTCTTAGAATTCTCTTCTTGTGTTTCTTTGGGTAGCCTTAAGCATAGTGGTGTGCCTGTGCCTGTTCCATGGATGATCTGTGGGACCCACCTCTCTTGCCCTTGACGCTCCTTTGGGCTCAGCAAGAGTCTACACAGACACAGTCATTGTGCAGGGACAGGTATACTGGCTGGCATGATGGAGAACTCTGAAAAGCGAGCCTTTGTTTTTATCACACAAGATTAATCTGCCGGATTATAATATTACCATTTTTTAAACAGCTCATCAAGGAGAAAAGCAGAATGATGTAAATAATATTGTGTGGCACTTTAGAATTGCAAAGCACATACACAACACTCCTGATTATTATCTCCAGAAAACCAGAGCTCAGAAAACAGTCCTCTCTCTCTACATGGGAATATAAAATAGCCACTTTCCCTCCTCAGAGAGGCCATAGTCACCCCTTCTGCTCATTTCTCTCAGCCTGGGTTGTCACTAATTAACTAATTATTCAATGGTTTGTTAATTTATTCATTCAGTACCTGCTCCCAAACTCCACTGCTCATTTGAAGAGGATTTCAGGCAGAATGCTATCATTTGTGTGGAAAAACAAAGTGACAGTCTTGTTACCCAGCATCTTCTTTGCTAGTCCTTTGTTCCCAAGCTGGGCCCCTGCTCCTTATATATCTGGGCCAAGAGGCAAGGCCGGCTCTGCAGAGACAGCCCCTGCCTTTCTCTTCTGGGTGACTTTGAAGTGTATGGCCAGAGCAGGTCCTGGAGGCCCCCACCCTCCAGCTTCCCTCTTTAGATCTGTGGCTTTTAGTTATTTCCTTTGAGCTTACAACCCATGTATGTAAACATCTGATAACAAAAATTCAAGCTGCTTCTCAGTGGCCTTTTCTAGAAACATGAGTTTAAAGTGAATCTAAAACATGGCAAGACGTGACACAGGTTGAGCCCTTGGGACTCTGTTTATAGAAACTGAAACCAATCAATGGAAACTTGCCCACAGTTTCCCACGGAGCGCACCCTGTTCTGGTGGTGTACGTGGGGTGGTCTTCCATTGGCCCCATGCAATCATCGTGAGTTCCAAATTCCTCCTGCCTGAGATGGAACTGTTCCACACAAGTGTTTCCGTTCCCCTGTCTGCTTCAGCAAAATGCCCTTCTTTTTCTCGGAGCTGACTGGAAGAATCTGAAGAGAGAAAATGTCTGGGTTGGTGAACGAGATTGTCTCCCACTTCTGAATGGACGCGCTCTTTGCCGTGTGTCGGGGACGATGGGGAGATTCTTTACCATCCTGTCACGCTCAGCTGTTGTTTACTTTCTGTGAATCGAATGTTGACAATTATAGTTCGAGGGTTTTTTTTAACAGCATATGCTGAACATGATAAAATATTTAGAGCAACTTGCTTTGGACTTACAATTATGCTACATTCTTTCAGCCCATTTATGACTAAATTAGAACATTTAGTAATGTTTGGTGACAACTCCCACACTTTGTAAGCACCAAGGGGAAAAAAATACAATTTATTTAATTGGTTTTCATTTGGAAGGGAAATAATCCTGTTTCAAACATCATAGTATAAGAAAAGACACCGTATATTCCCCACATAAATACGCAGATGCTCATACATTTGGGAAATTAACATATATACTCTACAAGGGAACTTACAAAGGCTATTTCTCTTTTACGTCTCAACCATTCCTTTCACCCAAGTTTTTGTGTTTGTTTTTTTTTTTTTTTTTTTTCAGAGTCACTACCAGTCATCTCCTCTTCCCCTCACATGTTCCTTGCAGAAGCCTTGATATACAGATATGAAGATAGGAAACTACAGTTGGCTTCCAGGCCACAGATGTCATGGGTACTTAAGGAGTGCCTGCACTGGGCTCTGGATTCTGAGAGGAGCCTAATGCGTTTCTTTCTGCAAAGAGCTTGTGACCTAAAGGCAGAGACAAAGAAAGAAAAGCAGAGTTCTCATTCTACAGAGAAGGGAGACTAGTTAGGGGACACCTGACTAGCCAGGACAGGACAAGGAGGAGAAGCAGGGCAGCCTGGGCAGGTGATTCAGGAAAGTGGGAGGGAGGCACTTCATTCAGTGGCACATGGGTTCAAAGGCCTGCAGGCAGGAGAACGTGCCCCTAGGTCAGTGCCCAGTTGGCTGTAGGAAACAGGGAAGAGTGGTGAGCAGAAGAAGGATTCTGATTGAAAACTAAGGTGAAGCACAGATGGTGGGGGGCTTTGCACATGACCTGTACCCTGAAAGCCGTGGGGAGCCCAGGAAGACCTCTGCAGACTGCACAACAGGGAGCCGACCCAGCACCAAGGCAGAGCATTGCAGAGCGAGAGGGCCGACTGGAGTACACATTCGGGTAGAATCAAATATGTCTTAAGTGAAGATAACTTTATTTTAAGAAAGCACAGGCAGAAAAACGGGAGGGGAAAAAAAAAAAGCCTCCTCCCTTTGAATGCCACCTTGCTATGGCTGAACTCCAGTACTACCTTGAGGGGGACAAGGTCTACTCTAACCATAGGTGACCATTCAGCACTCACTGTAAACAGCTCTGGGGCCAACGCACTTCACATTGCAGGGGATCAGAAATCTGCCACTTGAGCATCAGGGCTATTTTTGATCTGAAGACAATTGATAATCATCAGATGCAGGAAGAATTCTCTACTCTTCCCTAAGCTGTCTAAAGCAGGGTATAAACTTCCCTCTGTGAAGGTATTTCCCTTCTGCCAGGAAAGGAAGAGCAACTCTTCACCGAAAACTGAGTGTCAATACCATGATGAGTTTGCATAAACAAACCTAACTAAAATAACCCTTATCTTCTTTTAGTTCTCCCTAATTTTCCAGTTTATCTTATTTTCCCATGATTTATCTTTCTATGTAGCCCAAACCTGCTTTCCTTTGTTTAAAATGGCATATAAGCCTCTGAGTTTAACCACATCCTTGAGTTACACTCCTTTTCTGTGAAGGCTTCTTTGTATTAGCATTCAGAAAAATGACCTTTTTCTCCTATTCATCTGTGTTTTGTTAATTTGTAGACATCCAGGAAGTAAACTAGTTTTTCCTCCTCAAAAACATATCTTATTAAGTCCTCATCCCTTTTAGTGAGGAAGTTACTACTGTTATCCCATATTTTAGATACAGAAACCGAAGACATTAAGGAGCTAGTCCAAGGTCAAGCAGCTAACAGTGGCAGATCTGGGACTTGGACCATACTGCCTGAACACCTCACAACTCTGCTATAATTTCAACATGTTGGAAAAATAGTGTGACAGAGCCAGCAGACATGGATTGGGAAGCCAAGAAATCCATATTCTAATCTTGGCACTGTTGCTGTCAGTGACAATATTAACCATGCAAATATTTGTTCTGTTCTTTATAGTTTGGATAATTAGGTCGTTGAAGGAGATTTGATATGACCTTGGAGTAATCATAACCTATGGCATCACAATGTTTTTTTTTTCCTAATTAGCACAGAGCTTTTAAATTCCCACCATGTCCCAAGCCCTATTTTAATCTGAAGATTGTAATCTTTAATTTTTTTAGATCTACTTTGAACAAGCAATGATTAGCACTCTTTAGTGAATCCATAAACAAATCATCAGATACTTAAATTCTGTTGGTTCTAAGAAATGAAACAGAAAAAAGTTCTTTCAGTTCTCTTACATGCAAAACAAACACCTATGCAGACCGGATGGGTGATATAGGAAACACATTTGACTTAGATACCAACCAATTTAACTAAGTGGTCAATGGCTGTAATTTGAAAGTGGAAAGGGAGGCAGAAAAGCTCCTAGAGATTATGTTATTTTGAGCAGGTGCATACTCTTTTTGTTAGTGGGGTAAATTGACAGTCTCAGGCTTGAGGAAGCTGGAAGTACCAAGCTGGCCACATAAATACTGTTTACCCAATTCCAAATTCCAAGTTTCAAATGGTTACCCAGGAAACTCCAAGAAGAGTTCCTGTTGATAGAGAGGGTGAGCAGGAACTGGAATCTCCTAGACTGTTGCACAGATCTTTTGTTGAAGGAATTCAGAGATTGGGTGGGAGGAGAGGTGATGGAAGAGAGCCCGGTAGGATAGAGACTGAGCTGAGATGGGAGGGAGGATGGAGCAAGACTCGGAAGCTACTGCAAGAGCAAAGTTTGAAGGAATGACAAAGAAACACTTTAAAACATTGAGCGTGTAGAATGTGACATAAATTCCTCTTTATCTACAAAAGCATAACAACACTTTTCCCTGTTGAAGGTTGCTGCCAACTGGTCCATTTGCTCTCAGATCCATTGCCCGTCTCTCCTCCTGTGTCTCATTGTTGCAAGCTGATTCCCAGGAAATTGAGAGGTCCCAGTGGGGCCTGGAGATGGAGAAGGAAGGAGAAGCCCTCCTGCCCTTTTCCTCTGCCTTGGAAGACATATTTGGCAGCAGCTGCAATTCCTCTATGGCTCCAGCTCTTGCCCAAATAGACCTCTGTGGTGACAGTGTCTGTTTATCAAGGGGCCACCAGCTCAAAATAACACCAGCTCAAAATGCACATGCTCAAAATAATACCAGCTCTTTCTTCCATCCCTCCAGCCCCAAGGGTGGGCCATAGCTTCCCAGTTGCTAATCTTGGGGCTGTCTCATCTACCCTGGTTACTCTTTCAGCTCCTTTAATATCTTTGCAACCAATTCCTTCTGGTTACTATCATCTGTTTAATAACCTTGGGTGGATTTTGTTTTCCTGGTGGAAACCTGATGGATAGCGGCTCCTTTCCTCTTCTCTCTACCCCTTTCCTCCCCCTCCCCTCTCCTCCTCTTCTCCCCTCTCTTCTATAATGAGGGATTTCCAAAAACATAGTCTCATTTCTCTTTCTCTCTTTGCTCATATTCAATTCCTAGGACTCTGGAGTGAAATATCTGATAGTAATTATGAAAGAATCTCTGGGCTTGTTGTTCAGCTCTGCTGCTTCCTTCCTGAGTGAGCCTTCCAGGGGAGAGCACCAAGTCTCTCTGTGGTTATAGCCTTGCCTGGGCAGGCCTGAGCCAGTCCAGAAAGTGCATGATTTGGGGCAGGTCTTTCTATAGTTAGCTGACTTGACCACCAGATCTAGATGTCCATCCTCGCTTCTGGCAGTCATGAAGGTGTCCTTATTTTTTTTCTACTTTTGTTTTATTTCAACTTTCTCAGAACTCAGGAGGAAAAGGGAAGTGCTATGTACCGAGGCTCCCTCTTTCAGATCCTTACCATTATCCCCCAATTCCTGGGGAACTGGATTCCTGGTGTTTTTAGGTGCAGAGAAAAGCCTAAAGGCAGGGAGAGGCACCTGGGCTTTGCTGATGAACGTTTTCTTCAGCAGTTTTGGGGACTCTCTGGTTGAATGCCTGTGTCCAAGGATCAGCCCTGCTACTACAGGGGTGTCACTGAAGTAGGATATTATTTCTAATGTCTAACTGCTGCAGTAGCCAAAATCAACTGTCTGTCATATGCTGTTGCTGTTGAAAGTTGAGAGACCTGCTGTATTTGGTGTCAGTGAGGCTGATTTCCA